CAATGCTGCTATGTGATGGGGGATGACAGAGAACAGTTCATGAAATGTGATCAGAATTTAACCAGTTAATTACCTTTAACTGGAAAGTGTAAGAAGTCCTAACTCTGTAAAGTCCAAAGTCCCCCAAAGGGTGTGATAAGAGAAGTGGCTAATATACCAAGAAGGCCTCCCTTATTGCTCCCTTTCTTCCCTTCTATGTCTCCTCTACTTCCCTCCCACTCATCCTGAAATAGCTGGGCCACAGCAGCAAAAGATATCTAAACGTTTATCAGATCTTAATGCCTCCCACTGTTCCCTCCAAAATGAAAAAAAAAAAAGGAAGTTACTTCTAGATGTCTTCAGTTTCCTTTATTCCCCCCCATGACTCCTTCCAATCTTGCTAACCTCTACATCTTCCCCTTTCTTTGTTCAGTAGGCACAAAGTCTGCTACTGGGCTTGGAGATCCTTGCCAGCCAGAATATTACTTCATCCATTTTCTTTTTATGTCCAGTTCCAAAGTCCGAAAGACACAAAGTCAAACTCTCGTTAAAATTCACCTCCTAGAAATCCCAAAATAATCCTCAGCTTTCCTCATAAACCACCTAAGCCAGAGTAGGGTAGGTGTTAGAGGTTTTTTTAAAATTGCTTTGATATTATTTGTATCTTTGTCTGGTTTCCCCAGAACTGGTCCCCACACCCTCCTGTTGTCACGCTTTACCCCTACTGTATTCCTCAGGCTTCAGACAGCAGGGACACTAACAGACACACTACCCCCACCCCATCCCTAAGCCTCTCTTTAGCAGTCTCCAACATCTATTCCAGAACCTAAGAGCAGGATGATTGCAGCATGGATCTAAATGCACAGGACAGCTCTAAGTCCCAGCTCCACCAACCAACAGTGGACTGACCTCAGGCAAGTCAATTATTCTTCCTGGTCCTCAGGGTGGGCCTGGATGATCCCCAAATGCCCTTTCAGTTCTAAGGAATCTGGAATGTCTTCTAGGGAATAGGAGGGGCCCAGAAATATTTCCTCTGAAAACATAAGTCAACAAAAGTTCTAACTAGAAGGAAGAAATGTTAAATCCATCCTCTTTGTTCTGCATGAGCAGTCCTCTCTCCCTTGGTCTCCGAAGACCCACTTAGCATCCATCTCCTTCTGTACTGCAGCAAACTCAGGAAACTCCACTTTTCCATTTAGAGCTTAATCAATCCATCAGCACATTTGTATAGGCCATCCGTACACAGCGTTCCTAAAGCGCTTTCCAAAAATAACAAATGTCTTTAAAAAAAAAAAAACCCAGCCTGTGTGTGAGTGCGTGCGCGCGCGGGCACACACAGATCACTGTAGAGCTATAGGGGCCCAGAGAGAAAGAGAAAAGACACAAGAGAGAAGGACAGAAGAGAACAAGACTTGACACAGGACAGAAAAAAAGGTGAGGGAAGGCAGAGTGGCTGTGAGCAGGAACTTGGCTCAGGCTGTAAATTTCCAGCCCTGAAGCAGGAAACCACTTCTCTAGTCCCAGCTTCACCAATAACTCATGGGCTGAACTAGGACAAATCACACCACCTCCCTATGCCTCTTTCCTCATCAGTAAAATCAAACAGTTCAACTAAATATTTCTCAAAGAGGCTGGTATCGTGGAAAGATTCTAACAGACTGGGCCAGAATCTCTGCTCTGCTCGGATATTATTAGTTGAGTAGTCTAGGGCAAATTATTTTCAGTTCCTATCTATAAACTGGATACACAATACCCACTTCATTGGGTAGTTGTGAGGGGGTAATGAGATAAACGTGAAGGACGCAGAATGGGGTAAGGGAGAGTGGGCACTCAAATTAGTCGTTGGCTCAGGCCCCTTCCTGCTCTAACAGGCCATGATTGAGCGTCCACTGAATTCCCAAAGGGCTGGAAACGTATGCCCTAAAACTAGGCTCAAAACACAGTTAGTTTAGAGGGAAGAACAGCCAACAGGTTAAACAAGTGAACCACCAAGGTTCTCCTCCATGAAGGTCTAAAAATATATTTTTTAAGGAACATTTCCTTCCCTCAAATTAAATAATCATGTATGTGACTATAGTAAGGCAATATTTGTGAAAAGGGGACCTGGGAGGCTTTCTACTCTGAACATGTATGGAAGGATGAGGCACAGAGCTTACATATTTGTTACACACACACACGCACACACACACTCACTCTACCTCATTAAATAGGGGCTATTACCCCTTTTTTTACAGATAAATGAAATCCAATGGGCCAAAATATATTCTCCTCCTGCTTTCCTACTTCAAAAGGCTCCCTGCACTTCTGTTTTCCAAATACAAGGTCAAGTTTAGTTGCATCTCTTCTGAGTAAACTCATCAATTCAGCCCACAAGCATGGAAGGCCCTTCTGAACTCAAAGTGTCACTACTGGGACCAAGAATGGGACAACCAATCATATCCCTCCCTAGGGCCTACTCACAGTTACTTAACTATTGTTGTAGGCTGCATTTACTGCAGGTAGTAAATTCCTGTAGAAACCACTAACTCTGCCTCTTTCTACACACCAAAGTGTTCAACATTTACTTATTCACTGAAGGGGGAAAAGAGATAACCCCAAAAGACATAATGTGTATAGGAAATACAAGATATCAAAGTCGTAGCAGACATAAAACAGGAGGGGAAAGGGGCATAAATCCTGAAGTTTTGGCCAGATAGCAAAACACGTGCTTGGTAGAAGGGGCTATAATTGGTTTCTAGACTCCAGAGATATATCTATGTGTCATCACACACCTCTGGCTTGGTTCCCATCAGAGCTGAGTGGAGCAGGCTTCAATACCCACTGGGCAAATAAAGTCTGGGAAGCTGATTTGCTAAATCTGACTTCTTAGGGCTCTGTGTTTGCAGTGACTATACTGCAATACAGCAAATATTTACTGGCTGTCTTCAGAGCAAGGCTTGGGTGATCACAGAGATGAAGTGTAGCACAGACATGAATTCCTTACTCTCAGGGAATTCACAATCTACGTGAGAGGAATTATAGGCTTATCTATATATAACATTGTGAAAGTTACAAGGGTCCAATAAAAGGGCTGTTTCTTTTAAAAGTGCTATGAGAATGCAGAGATAGGAATAAAGACTTCTGAGTGGAATTGGGGGAAGTGAAAAGTTGAACTGGACCTTGAAGATCATGCATTTACCTAGGGAGCTCTCAGGACAGATTTGCATGCATAGTGCTAATTATAAAGAAAGAAAAGGAAATGGAAAGCCATTCACCAAAAGGATGGCAGAGACAGAGAGAGAGAGAGAGAGAGAGAGAGAAGGAAAAAAAAAAGTGGTAATTTTGTCTGCCAGGCCCACAGAAAGTTCTGTCTGGTAATAGAAATAAATATCTATATACCTTCAATCAAGATGTTTAGGTGCTAGATTTTGGTTTCCAAAGTACCCAAAACTGTGTAAGAAACACCTCCTCCAGGTCAAAAATAGCAAACCCAAGAGAACTGGCCGATGCAGTTATGTTTACTTTTTACCATTTCTGTGGATCACTTCCCAAAGGCCCCCAATGGGATGATATAAACAGGTCTGTGTCACTTCCTGGTTCTCAGGCCTTCTGCTACATTCCCAGTCAGTCTGGGAAGGCTGCCTATTTAAAAATAAACTTTAAAAAACTCACCAAAACCCCAACTCTAAACCACCCTTTCCTCTACTTCATTCAATTTCACTAAAATTAAAAGGGACTGAGTGAGAAATGAGACACAAATGACCACAAAGAATGAATTCTCAGCTCAAAACTAAAATATATGCTGCAATCAGGGTCAGGAGATCTGGATTCTACTCATGTTCTGCTTCTAACTGGAAAACTTGACCTTGAGCAAGCAAGATGCTGCATCTTTCTGCACAATAGCTGCTTCAGCATACTTAACTCCAATGAAGTTATCCAATCATTTTGGACCTCAGTTTCCTCATCTATAAAATAGTGCCAATAGCTACCTCATGGCTAAAAGTATTATACAAAGAAATGCATGCAAAGCACTTAACATAACACCTGGCACTTAGTGAGCTGTCAAACATAAGTAGATATTGATATTATTACCACCTATCATTATTATTATTATCATTATTTTCTGAATATATAAGGGTTGAACTAGATGACCACTACCTGAAGAGCTTCTCTGGTTCCAAAATTCTATGATTTTAAGTCACTGTCTCCTTTTCTTAAGGGTCTGGATGGAAAGGAAGAAAATAAACTTGGCAAAACATGACAGTTACACATCCTCAGGATTTATTTATGTCACAAACACTAGAATACAATTAATAAATCCATCAGTAAGTAAAAGGGGCCATATTACCCTCCCCACTGGAAACGTCTTACCTATTTCTGCATTAAACCAATAGCATGTGGTAATAAGTACACCCATAACACACTGGCTCTACTCCCATGAACACCAAGGATAATGCCCTCTTAGGCCAACACAATCTGATTTCACCCACCTCATCTTTAACTGTCAGAAGCTCCTTAGAGCAGCCCTGAAAAACAGCTCAGTAGCCAACCCAATCCACTCATTCCTAATAATGACTAATCCCTCCACAAAGTGTTCCTGTTTAAAATTAAAAAGTGTCTTCTTAACATAATTTGAATACGGCCAAAAGTCAAATGTCCTTCCCAAAAGTTAGTGTAACCAGAGCTATTTAGCTTTATCAAGGCCAAAGTGCTAGCTAAACTATAATTAAATTCAAATGAAATTAATACACTTTTCCTTTTATGTATTTACTTGGTGTCCATGACGTGCCAAATGCCACAGAAAATGCCAAGAAGTAACAGGATGGAGTGAGAACAGTAGAGGGTGGTGCTGAGGCTTTTGGCTTAAGTTACAGGGTGATTGGTGAAAGCTACCAAAGGAGAGAAAGAACACAGGTGGACAAGCAGATTTTAATGAAGAATGTAATCAACTAAGTTCAGATTATTCTTGGACATGTTGAATTGTAGTTGCTTCAAGGACATTCAGGTAGAAAGGTCTAGCAGGCAAATTAGAAATGAGTACGGTGCTCACTTCAGCAGCACATATACTAACTTTGGAACAATCCAGAGAAAATTAGCACAGCGCCTGCATAAGAAATGAGTATGAAATTCCACAGAGCACTTTGAGCTTGGAGTTAGCAGCTTATGAGTGATAGTTGAAACCATGCACAATAGATGGACTCACCCAAGAGAGCTGAGTGGGAAGAGAAGGAAGTCAGGACAGAATCCTGGGAAGAGCAGTAACTTTTAAAAGGAGCATTGTTAAGGAAAGCCCATGGAAAATACTGCTAAAAGTACGAAGAAACTAGGGACTGTGCATCAGAGATGCCAAGGAAGGGACAGAGATAGTCAAGGAGGATATAGAGGGAGTTGGCAGTGAAGGTCCAGTAAGATGAAGGCTGATCTGGTCATGAAATCCTTAGTGACCTCATCAAGAACAGTTTCATTTGAGTGGTAAGGGCAGAGCATATGGATCTTAACATGAATCCAAAGTGAGGAAGTGGACACAATGAAGGCAAAACTATCAGGGGCAACGAGTTGAAAAAAGGGGAGAAGAAAGACTGGAGGATGGCTAGAAGGAATTTGTATCTTATAAGCCATGCCTTCTCAGTTAACCCAAGGATTTTATTAAGATTCCTGAACTGCCCAGATAGTTTGGAGAGTCTCTCTGAACTGACACTCCCGTAATGCTGTGGTTGGCCAAAGCTAGGGAGAAGCTGGAGATGAATATCAAAGAGCTGCCTGTTTTCTTAGTGTTCAACACCAGCAAAACAGCCTCTCCAGGGGCACCTGGATGGCTCAGTCAGTTAAGCGTCTACCTTCGGCTGGGGTCATGATCCCAGGGTCCTGGAGTTGAGCCCTGCCTCGGGCTCCTTGCTCAGCGAGCAGCCTGCTTTTCCTTCTCCCTCTGTCTGCTGCCCTCCCAGCTTGTGTGCGCGCTCTCTCTCTCGCTCTCTCTCCTCCCTTCTCTATGTCAAATAAATAAATAAAATCTTAAAAAAAAAAAAAAAGCCTCTCCATCCCATTACCCCTACCCCAAAACTGCTACATCTCTAAGATTCCTGAGTGGGAAGAAACAGTCAACCTAGTAGCAGGGCCAGAAGTGACCTTTCCTTGTGTCTCTCAGGCCTTAAGATTCTCCATAAACATGGTCCCACTACCTGCCATTTTCCTCCTTTCTACTCAAAGGTCTACCTGAGTATTTTCCCTTGAGGTTTGGTTCAGGCTCAGGATTCCAGGAGCATGTTCCTCACCTCCATCTCCTGAAGCTTAACAGCCCCAATGAGGTATGCACTTAAGCCAAACAAGACATTGTCTTCTGGTTCCAAATGTTCTCCTCCATCTTGTGTAAATTCCAAGAAGCCTCTGAATCTATAACCAAACCATGACTCTTCCTGTCCTCTCCCTCACAAATTACTCAAACTTCCTGTAAGTTGTCAAGGTTGGACTGTAAGGCCCCAAGCAAAAACAAGAAACAGGAACTTGCTTATTGTTCCTTCCCCTTTGATTAGTCCTACGCCCCTGCCTCCACCTCTACTCTCCACCAAGGCCTGCAAGCTCCAGTTCTAGTTCCAATCATACCTCTGGTTCTCCAGATGTAGGGCTCTAAATCAGGACCTGAAAAGAAAGGAATCTAATTCACAACAGATATTCTCTTAAATCTCCAAACACAGACTCTAAAAGGAACCTCAAATTAGTCAAAGTTCAGGTAGAAGTACCAATCAAAGAACTTCAGAAAGTCCAAGTTACATCCCAGAAGATGTTAAGGGGAATTATGATAAACACAGCAGATGAGAAAGAGACATCATAAATTAATAAGGGAATCTGGTATTTCCTTCCAGACAAGGCACCTGGACTCATTCCTAACAAATATCTTCCTTATAGAACTTACTGACCTCAGTCAGCACCTAAATTGGGCCCCTACATATTCTAGATGCCATGAAAGGTACAAAGATGGAGAAAAGCATATGCCATAAAAGAGATTATAGTCTACTGGGGGTAGATAAGACACATATACAAATAACTACAATATGAGGTAGAAAGTGAAAATACATGGGTGATATATAGCCAAAATGTCAAAGACAAAACACGGAAGTAAGCTGGAACCCAGAAGAGGGAAACGAAACTATTAATTACAAGATCATTCAATGTAGGTTTTAGAGTTACACAAAAGGGACTTCAAATCCTGATTCTGCCTCTTGCTTCTTACAGGTCCTAGGTATACTGTTTTAACTGCTATAAGCCTCTGTTTTGCCATGTATAACACAGGGATAACAATACCTTTTTCACAGAATTTCAGAGTCCATGATTCACACATTTTTGGAGAGTTTAATATAGTATCTGGCACAGAGTAAGACTAGGTAAGGTGGAAGGGGCACTGCACATAGAGAGTTAATGCTCTTCCTTTTCCCACACAAGGCTACCTGGACCTAACTCGTGCACAGGCAGCTAGGCCCCTGCTACTTGCTCATCAACTGTGCCTATTACTATTAGTTCAGTTAGCTGCCCAGGTTAAATGGGAACATGGCCAGGAGGTGCAAGGAGGAGACTCAGTGTGTGTGTATATATATATATATGTGCATGTTCATGTCAGGATAACACCTGGAAGCACACCCCCAGCTTTCTGCCAGAAAGTGCAGCACTAAAATACAGGTAAAATGACAGATTATACCATGTATATAGCATGTTACTGAACCATACTATTCTTTTGGATGTAGGTGTTCAATTAATGTGTGGCAAAATGACATGACCCGAATCTGGCTGAATTCTCAAAATTCCTCTCAATGGATCCATTTTTCGACAAGCAAATATAGGAGGACAAAGACATCCAAGGTTAAAAATTGGTCTGAGGTGACAAGCCAAAGGACTTCCACCTCCAGTCATGATGGAATAATGGACTAGATTTACTCTCTCTCCCTAAACAGCAAAAAGCTATATATAATATATGAAATAATAGTTTTCAGATATTCAACAATAGGCAGCACAGGGCAGTGATCCTTGAATAAAGGGAAATGAAGTGAACCCTACTGGTGCCCTACTAACTCTGAGGAGTCTCCAGGACACAGCAGAGAGGAGAAACCTGAAAGAGTTCAACTGAGTCAAAGAGACAGAGCTGGGAATTGGGGGAGACCAATGTGGCTAGAATTGATAGGACAAAATAACTGAAAAGCAGCAGCCACAAAGAGAAAAAGCCTCAGAGATCTGTAGAGAGTTCTCACTGAGTCAAAGAGACAGAGCTGGGAATTGGGGGAGACCAATGTGGCTAGAATTGATAGGACAAAATAACTGAAAAGAAGCAGCCACAAAGAGAAAAAGCCTCAGAGATCTGTAGAGAGATCTCCTTAAATCTTTGGCTGAGTACTCATCTGTGCATAGTGCAAGGAAAATTCACAATGCTGGGGGAAAGAATGAATGGAAAGAAGTGGCATAATCCTTAGAGTTCACGGCCAGAAATATTCATGTTCCTATTAGCCAAAGTGGAAAAATCTCCTAATACACAGGGTATCAGATGGAATCTTCAGAAGGATTTGGCCTTAGTAGTGGGACCATTCCAGTCCTAGACTACAGACTGTTCCGGACCCACCCTAACAAAGCTAGAAAGCAAGCCTCGAAATGAAAAGGATCAAATTCCGAGTAGCTGAACTGCTTCCGAAAACAAAGCCCAAAAGTACTGAAAGGAACACAGTTTCAGCACCCAGAAAAATAAAACTATGTCTCGCTTCAAATAATAATAATAATAATAATAATAATAATAATAATAATAATAAACAGGACTGCAAAGAGGCAGAAAAATATGACCATAACTAGAAGAATAATCAAACAATAGAAACAGGCACAGAATTGATCCAATGATAAAATTAGTAGACAAGGATGTTAAAACTTCTATTTAAATATACTCCATGTATTCAAGAGAGAAGAGGAAGGCATGACACAACAAGGAAAGAAATGGAAGAGATAAAAAGATCCAAATAAACTTCTAGAAGGAAAAATACAAATATCTTAAGGAAAAATATATAGGATGGGATTAACAGATTAGACACTGTAGAAGAAATTCATGAACTTGTAAACACAGCAAAAACTATCCAAAATGATATACAGAAAACATCAGTCAGTAGTGAGACACTATCATGCAGCCTAATATACATATATGTACATATATATTATACATACAAATAATATGTGTGCGTGTATTTTGGGGGTGGGGTAGGTAGACACAAAAAATTTTTCAAGAAATAATGGCAGAAAACTTTTCAAATTTGATGAAAACTATAAACCCACAAATCCAAGAGCTCATCATACTCCAAGAAGAAAAACAAAAAGAAAACACAAGGCACATCATAATCAAGATGCTGGAAATCAGTGATAGAGAAAATGTTAAAAGCAGCCATAGCAGGTGGAGGGGAAGGAGAGACATACTGCATACTGAAGAGCAAAGGATTACAGGTTTATTATTAGAAATAATGCAACCCAGGAGGTAATGGAGCATCATGCTGAAAATACTGGGGAAAAAAATAGTCTGGCCCTGGTTAAGGAAAAATTGACAAGAACTATGAAGTTCCCATCACTAATGCTTTTTGTGCTCTGGAGTAACATTTTTCATGGAGGCCTCTGGTGAGCATAAGATGGGGAGAGGAGGTGCTCAGTGGCCTTAAAAACACTTATAAGTACAGTAGCCTATGAAGAATGAAAAGAGGTAAAGACTCTTAGGTTCACACAGAGGGGCACTTAACCATGTTTTATACCAATGTATTCAGAGCATTACAGACTGTAGTTCTTATGCAGTCTTATGTCAATATTGCTTAACACAGTGGTAAAGAGACAAAGCAAGGTCTATCAGAGGATTCATCCCATCGGAAAAGAAAATCAAGTTAGAAATTAAAAGTAGGGGATCCCTGGGTGGCGCAGCGGTTTGGCGCCTGCCTTTGGCCCAGGGCGCGATCCTGGAGACCCAGGATCGAATCCCACATCGGGCTCCCGGTGCATGGAGCCTGCTTCTCCCTCTGCCTATGTCTCTGCGCCTCTCTCTCTCTGTGACTATCATAAATAAATAAAAATTAAAAAAAAAAAAAGAAAGAAATTAAAAGTAAATCTCATTAAGGAATGAGTTAGCCCTACCAGCATCAGGCCTGAG